TGTTTTGTACTTTTCTATTTAAATATTCGTATGGAAAAACACTAGCTTACCTATGTTTTGTCTAACATAATTTTTCTATATAATTTATTATTCATGTCTTTATGACAAAATACGTAATTAAATTGTATCTATGACAGGTTATAAATAGTAGATTAGCCTTTAATTATAAAAAAATATTACTATCTACATTTTTGCCATTTTTATTTAAATAGCTACAAGATTTTATGAATAAAAATGACAAAATACCTAGACTATATCATCTAATAGATGGGCCTAATGACGTCATAATGCGTATTATTAGTCCTAATACTATTTGAATAATATAAATTACTTAATAATACATTTATTTTCATTCTTTTATGTTAATATTGATAGTATTTAGAGTGTCACTAAAATAGGAAATTTCCAAACTACATTTGAAATGCGTTATAGCGATTTAATCACCAATTTCTATACAACATCATTATTATCTTTCATAAATTTACATTTAGACTACAAAGAGGTCGCGTAGAACCTAACGGGTAACCGGGGCTCCGACGACGTGCAGGAGAAGGAACGGGGTGGTTTTTAGTCAGTAAGAGTCTAACTCTCCCTCCCGCCTCACCCAGGCGGGTGCAGTCATTCGATGATTTTCCCCCCTTAAAAAAAAAGACCACAAAGAGATTTCAGTGGTAAAAATGCATTATTATACAGCATATTAAATTATTAGCAGATATGGAATATAGAGACTGCCTCGTTGGCTGAGTGGTCGCAAGTGCGACTGCCTGGCAAGGGGTTTCGGGTTCGATTACCGGGTCGGGCAAAGTAATATGGGATTTAAAAAAAAATCTCAGTAGTAGCACGGAGTCTGGAATTGTACCCGATGTATGGCTCACCCCCTATTACATGGGACTCATAACATAAATAGTGAAAAGTGGGTGTTTCATTATACAGTGGCATAATGTGCACCTCTGACTAATTAGATTTTTATTTTTCATACCCTGTCATCATCCCAATTGAAACTAATAGTCATGTCGTAGTCAAATTAATCACTGCTGCAATTATTCAACCACTCTGTCTTTGATCAAATATCATTTACATATTACATATTTTTTACAGACGTATAGACATAATAATATACAGTATGTTAGGTTAAACGAGGGACATATTCAAACCCATAATAGTGTATACTCACATGAACCTAACAAACATATAAACGAAACGAAAACACTAATAAATAACAGACAGAACCATAAAAACGCTTCCGCTTACGCTTACGGGTTTCGGCTTAGCGGGCTTAAGCGCGCTCTATTCTTTTTGGCAAGATCGGCGCATGATTTGCAACGCCAGTTACTTTATGTAAGTACTGTTTCTGTTTACAAGTTCACTTGTTGCGCGCTCAGTGTTGATGATGATGTATTTTATTAGACAATTACCTCAAAAATTTTGGTTATAGGTTTTTTACATATTCGGAACGAGAATCGAATACTGAATACCCTCCCTCAATAAGTCCCTCGTTTAACTTAACACACTGTATATTATAGTCTAACATCTGTCTGCAACAACTTTGAACGGACATAAATAATATGCAATTAATATACAGTTTGAGTGCGAACATTTTTTAAACATATCAATAAAATCCTTGTAATCTAATTTGACAAGCCATTGACAACTTCAACTGTCAAAATGTAATTCGATACATATCAAAGAACTCGATTAACATTATTTTTTTTCGACTGCAGTGCTAACATTTCCGTGCAGATTTTTTAACTTAATTAAAGGAAAAAGCCTGTTACTTTTTATTGGATTTTGGGATGGGAAGCGTGCGTTCGTCTGATGATAAGCACTCATTATTCATGAAATTGAATGTCCACAACACTAGTGATGTTACCAGTGCGTTACGGGCTTTTGGAAGAGAGGGAAATTAAGCTATCGGTTACCTTACTGACAACACAAAAGACCACGCAGGCATTATTTAACACCGGTTTTCTATGAGGCTGTGGTATCACTCATTCATGTCAAAGCATAGCTATTCTAAGTGAACCATGCCATTCTGCTATGTCTTTTTAACACAAATTAATGACCATCACATCTACATTCTGTTGTTCATACATTGGTATAGAAGAAGGAAGCTAAGCCTTTGGCTCTATTGTCTTTTATTTTAACTGCTCATATTCTCAGTGTCTGTTCATTCGTTTTTGTGTTCACGATTCAAAATTACTAGACCGCTTTAATGAGACTTCCGCGCGCAAGATTTCCGAACCTTTTTTATAAATTGATTAGATGAATCATATTACATTACATTGATACGTAAGTACGTCACTGTCAGGAGACAGAAGTGTACTTCTTTATTAGGTTCACTGTCTTTAGAATTGTCAAAAACCGTGTGATGAGAGTTTCACGCAGCATCAGTGGTCTATGATAAATCTAAAGCCTTTAACCCAAGATCCACCCCATCTGTTATGAATAAAAATTATAGCAAACCCTATGTAGAGGAGACCCTTAGTCCACCAGTGGCCAATGAGACCGTTGTCAAAAAACGCCTATCCCACTTATCACACCTTGACTTAACAAGTGAGTCAGTAACATTAAAAAAATTAGGTATATGCAGAAATGTTCACCACGACAATTAAACTATAGTTCTTAGGGTCAAGAACAAACTTTTTTGGATGCCACAAAAAAAAAATAAAACATAAAATTATTCTATTGTTCCAATGGCATTTAAGATCATAAGTCAAGACATATAGGTAGATAAAAATAGTGTTATATAATTTAGGTATCTATGACGAAAATAGGTTCAAACCTTTTTAATTTTATTTGTCTGTGCCAGCGGTCAATGCCGTCAGTCCAAAGATATTTCAATTGGTTTGAAGTTACACTATGTTGCACCATATTTTTATATGTTACGAACCTGTTATAGCCACGAAGGTTACTCTTGGACCGTTGGGTCTTATTTCCGTCAATCATAGCACTGGCCACTTATTGAACACGTGAAACACGTGGTAGCGTCTTACTTTTTTAAATACGGTAAAACGGGGTGAATAGAATTCGAGGGGTGAATAAATGTTGGGAAGATATTCAAATGGTGAATAGATTAATTCCTGTAGCGTTCCACCATTTGAATTCTCTTCACCTCATTTATAGAAAGAATTTGATAAAAAATCTGGACTATTATGTAATAATTATTGATTATAAATACGTGTAAAGAAAATATAATATTATATTTTAACACGATTGTATTATGACATGAAGTTATGTCAATGTGAAGGCATTTGTTTCTATTCGACCAATTACATGGTCTCTTGAGAGTCACGGACAACCTCTTTGTTTTTCTGGTTGTCAATAATAATGTTCATAACATTGCGGATAAAGAAAAAATACACATTCCATTATTTTGAAAATTTAAAAGTAAAAATTTGTGTATTAAATCAGCTGAGAATTAACAAGAACTTACTTTGGTGTATTTAAGTGTACATTTAATGTCAATGACCTTTGAGTGTCATACTCGACATGATTCATATATTTGTATTATGTAAATTATTACGTATGACAGATACCTTAAAATTCATATTTAAATAAAAATGGATTATAGAATATACTGCTAAGCATAAAATCGAGAACGGTTGGACCAAATTCAATCATTCTTTTTGTGTAAATTCTTATCAGGACAAGATAATTATGAATAAAAAGAAACAATATACGACCAATATACGCTTATCACTAAAAATGAATTATGCAAAGAATTTCATTTTTTTTTTAAATATTTCTAAGTATTCCAGTGTGTGTGATCTGTACAAAGCAGTAATTTTAAATTACCATCAGTACTTAATTTGCGATAAGATTTTTTGTCACTTTTTGAGACACTTATCTTCAAATTTACGTTATATTTTATGTAACACTGCTTAATATCCGCCCAATATTATAAAAAAAAAAATTGATAACAAAATTAATATTTTTACACATCAAGTTAAAAAAAGACCTCACAAAATACTGATGTGAAACAACGCTTGCGTGTGTTTCGTCGTGTGAGTGATGTTACCGGAGGCCCAATAACCCCCCTCCCCAATCTCTCCAATCCCTAAATCCCCAATAATCCTTAAATTTTTAATCCCCAAAAGGCCGGTAACGCTCTCTCAGGTGTCCAACGGCGGCGCCGATTGCTTACCATCAGGTGATCCGTCTACTCGTTTAGCAGCTTATTTCATAAAAAAGAGATGATAACTATATCAAAAATTGCAAGTGTACGCTGTATATGATTTAATATAAGTTTGAAATCAGAGTTCTAAATAGTAAATACCAGGTGTTACGTTGTTATAAAGTTAATAATCTAGTTATACAGCCTTTTGTAGAAAATTAACACTAATTTATGTATCTTTGTTTGTTAAAAACAATAAATTTAAATATCAAAATATCAAATGCACTATTAAATCTTGAACATTTTCTGTTATCTAACATTTTGGCACGTGTAAATAAAATTTAAATAAGTAACGGCTTTTCTAAACAGGAAAAAAACATAATTGAGTGTGTCTGTCTGGAAAAAAACTGTCGAAAGTGAATGTTTAGAAAATATTATTTTTGAGAATTCTTTTATCTAATATTATTTATCTAAGAGAATGCTCTAGTTTTTGACATAATGCTTATCAATTTTATTGCGTTATTTTAATATTCATTTTAAAATATGTTAAAAGAAAAAAAAAACAATAGATCTAGAAAGCAACCGTGTTAGTACGGAATAACAATGAAAAAAAGGGAACGAGAATTTTTAGCCTATGCTAGCGTTCCGTTTTCAAAACTGCGCGCATGACGTCAACATTGTTTTTCATTTTTCAGATCGCCGGCACAGCTCACCAGCCAGTATTCGGTTTTATATACAACGACTTTTTGGACGAACTAGGAGTCGGCACGGCAGCAGTTACAGTTGTTTTTGGGGTGTTTCAAGTCACGTTAGCTGTTGCAGGTAAAAAATAAAAAACAAATTCGCCCTTCGTATAGAGGCCGAGAGTTACTATAAAATATCTACTAAGATTACATGCTGCATTGCCTAAAAACTGTTGTAAGACGTAACACACAAAATATCTACATGAATAGTAGGTATTATTACAGCTGTTTTTTACAATTTTTTCAAGCGCAATTTAGACACAAATTGATTAATTTTGCATATAAGCAATTTAGTTTATTAAAGAGTTATGCAATTACTAAATTCTGCATTTTTTATTCTAATTAAATTAACCTAACAATTTCGTTTACATTTTTTACGCAAAAAAACTAAATAGGTAGAGGTTTATACTTGAACTTTAAATTTAAAAAAAAGGTTGGTATGTAGCGTTCAAAGTTCAATATTAATAATTATGTATTACGTAACACAAATATGTAATACATAGTCATAGTTCAATGACATTATTGTTTAGTTTTGTATCAGATTCGATTGTCAGTTGAATTTATACCTAAGTATTATTTTTATGTAATTTGATCGAGTGATATTATAGTCAATTAAGAGTTCATTATTAATTGTAATGGGAACTAAGGTAAAGTAGAACAATGTTATATTTGCTAGTGTTAAACAAACTATTTATCGTTACATACATTTTTTACCCAATTTTCATCATTATTTGTAGATACTACTCATACATAGGTACATACATTTTATTGAATAAATAGATACTTGTATTACTTACTCATACTTATATTTAAACTTTCGCGAGATATACTAAATTAATTAATATGTTTTTCGGCTTATTCGTATCAATTTTGTAATCATTATTTTTATCGCATTGTACCACACATATAACGGACTTCGTGAAATAAAGAAAACATTCAGTAGTATATTATGAAAAGCACATTTTCATTTCATGACCCCAGAATCGGAGTTGTCTTTGGGGTCACTATTTAAATAGGCTTACATAATAATAATTATACAGTACAGGTATAATGCTACCCACAGAATACGACCAATTATGTGTATTATACCTACAGGGCACTTGACCTTTTTGCAAGTCATCGCCAATGAGGTCAACGTAAAAGTCCATTTTCCCTCTCTTAAAGTTTTTGTTCGTGAATCGCAAATGACTGCCAAATAATCGCTTTTCAGCTGTGAATGGGAAAGTAAACCTATATGTGCAAATAATAAAATAACTTTTCGTTTGCTTTCTGTCTATTATCATGTTCATACATATATGTTCATTGCTATATACTTATATGTGTCCTAATAACAGCATATCAGAACATATTAGGACTTGAACTGCCTCGGTGGCCGAGTGTTCGAAAGTGCGACTGCCGGGGAAAGGGTCTCGGGTGCGATTCCCGAGTCAAGCAAAGGGTTTTACTGGTTTTTATTTAACTAAAATTCTCAGTAGTAGCACAGAGTCTAGAGTTGTATCCGTTATATGGCAATAGACTCACCCCTTATTACATGGGACTCATAACATAAATGGTAAAAAGTGGGTGTTACGTTGTACAGTGGCATTAAGTGCCGTAATGTGCACCTCTGTCTACCCCTTTAGGGGTGAAAGACGTGATGTTATGTTATGTTACCTGAATGGTATATTAGGTAAATAATGAATAAGAAGGGTTTTAATATTAACGAATTTGAATTCATCGAACATTATTTTGAACACACAAGAAAGTAGTTATTCCACACGATAATCAACAATCCTACGGCAGTCAGTTATAACATCACAATACCCACATACAGTTTAAATGAAGCCTAGTTCACTCATTTAGATCTTAGGATCCTGTAAAGTAAATCCTATTACATTACAAAGTATAAAAATAGAGTGCAATATTCGAAAACTCGCCTTAAGCTAAAGGGATAAAAAAACTTGTGTCAACACAAAATGCTTGGGGCATTTTGTTAATGCTTTTTTGCATTCTCGTGCCAACAGGATAAAGCCAGTGTTTAGCTTTACAATGCATTTTTTTTAATATACACTCTTCCTCCTCTTAATGAAGTCAGGGAATTTTCTTTTTTATTTGAAGTGCAAATATTGTGGTTTATTTAATGAGAATGGGGAATATTACAATTTCATATTGCTAATTGGTTTATTTGTATTATGCCGGTGAAGTCTTTAGTTTGATTATATAATTGCTTAATGAGTTTTAGGATTACCAAATGTTTAATAGTGTCAAAGAATTGTCGCTACCTATTGCTGTTGTAACTACATTATAACGTGTTGACGGGCGTCCGGCTCGGAATGCAGGACACAGGATGGTTTTAAGTCAGTAAGATTTTCTCACCCAGGGCGACAGAAGTCTTTGGATGACTTTCCCACCTCAAAACAAAAGCAGAAAGTAGCAATTGCTACTTTGGATGCTAAAAATCCAAAGTAGCAATTGAACTAAAACTTCTGTTCTTATAAATATATTCGTACTATGTTCGTCGACCACCCACTTTACTAGCTATTGCAAATTATTTACTAATTGAAAATTTTCATTTACATTTTGTAACATAAGATGTATCATAATCTGATTAAGAGACTGCCTCGTTGGCCGAGTGGTTGCAAGTGCGATTGCCGGGCAAGGTGTCTCGGGTTCGATTCCCAGGACTGGCAAAGTACTACAGGGTTTTAAAAAATTCTCAGTAGTATCACCGAGTCTGGAATTGTGCCCGGTATATGACAATAGGCTCACCCCCTATTACATGGGACTCATAACATAAATAGTGAAAAGTGAGAGTTACATTGTACAGTGGCATAATGTGCATCTCTACCTACCCTTTCGGGGATAAAAGGCGTGATGTTATGTGTTATGTGTGTAAAGTATCATATTCCATAATCATTTATACAACATTTATTATCATTAGAAATTATTAATATAATAATAATAATATGCGTAATTGTGTATTTATTAATGAGAGAATAAATATTTACAAATGACCCATTTGGGGCACGCACGTTGCTCTAATTCAATCATTATTAATAATCTTAACATAAATGAAACAAGACGAAAAAATAAATTATGATATTTACAAAGTAATTTATTTTTTCATCGGTGATGACAACTCTGATTATGTTTAAATTAATTAATTTTAGAATACTAAAACACCTGAGATTTTATAAAAAAATATTCTGAATATAAATCCACAGAATGACATTCCGAACAGTTTTATGTTACAGAATTTTAATGCACATTTAGTTGGGCATTGAGAATTTATGACAGGAAAAATGTAGCTATGAACATAATAAACACAATTTTCCTTTGTTTCAGGATTTTCAGCAAACATAGCTTTAAAGAAACTATCTTTGAGACAAGTTGGTTTAATAGGAGCCGGTATTTATACGCTAGCGTCATTCCTAGCCATTTTCGTAGTATCTACGACACAGCTGATCATAACAAATGGCTTCCTACATGGCTTGGGAATGGGCCTCCTCATACCTGTCTCCTACACAAGTTTCAATAGCTATTTTACAAAGAAAAAAGTGCTCTATCTAAGTCTTTGTAAGGCTTCAATTGGAATGATAACGATGTTCTACCCGTTGTTTATCAAGTTTACGATGTCGGAGTATGGGTTTAGAGGGACTCTCGCTATTCTTTGTGGGATATCAGCGCATAGTATATTTGGGGCGGCAGTGATGCATCCTGTGAAGTGGCACATGGTGAAGCAACCGAAGCCCTGCGAAAAAATTGTTTGTAAGTTCTCTTTCTACTTGAAGAAAATTTGTTCGTAAAGGTCACTGTTCTTTAAGCGAAATGAATTTCGCTTTGTAAAACTGTTTCATTCTACAGAATACTGTTGAAAGTTCAGCTTTTAATACAAAGCTAGAGTAATGCTATTCAGCTTTGAGTTTTGTTCCAACTTTTGTATCTGCTCACTTGGAGTTTAAAATTAATATTATAAAGGAATAAAGTCTATTACTCACCAAGAAGAAATGTTGATTTTAATCTACTACATCAAAGTGCTCAAATAAAATCTTCTCTCTGATATTTATACAATCGTATTGGAACCTTACAACCGTAAAATTAACGTTGTATTTCCAGTAATACCACCGACACCCGCCAAAGAAGACAACAAAGATAATAAGTTCGATTTCACGAAGACCTTGCCGCGAATCGATTCATCAGAAAATGCGAGATCTGTCGAGAATCTGTATCGAATCAATCGATTGGAAAATCCTCAGAAAGGAGCCGAATTACTATTTGTGTCGAAATTAAGCGATTCCAGACGATTAAGCATACCAGTTGTCTTGATCCCAGCAGATGGAAGAATCGATAGTAGTTTCGATACGAGTGACCATGTGTATCGGGAGAATTTATTCAAAGCTGCGTCGGTATCGAGTTTGGGCAATTTTGGGAATATTGCTGCGGAGCCCATGCCAATAATAAAGAATAAGGAAGGGAAATGGTGAGTTATAATTATTTAACACGTCAATTATTATTTCGAGAAAAAGTAAAGGCTAAACTACTTGCATTACTGCTTTGCATTATATTCTAATCGTTATAGGATTGAAGACTGCGGCCACAGCCTAGATCTAGATAATTCGACACTGTATAATAGTATTACTGAGACTTTTATAATCTAAAAAATAATTAATTGCTTTGTCGAGTAAGTAGGTTCACATTTAAAGCCCGCAACTTCCTCTTTTATCTAAATTATGTACAAAAATAAATTCCTATACATTTATTCGATTGTAAACAATAATGCATTATTCATTGTATTGGTTTTCTATTATACACTTAATGAAATAGTTTTATGTTTATGCATAAAAATGTAGATTTTAGCCAGGACCAATAAAGGATTCATTGACCACTCCGTGTCGCGTGTAACCTTTGTACAGTCTAGAAAAAATGTAGATTATTTTCAAAATATTAATCAGATTAAAAAATCGCATAATTATATCCTTACTAATATTATAAATCGGAAAGTGAGTTTGTTTGTTTGTTCCGCTTTCACGCCATAACTACTAAACCGATTGCTTTGAATTTTTGCAGACGTAAAGTTAGAAGTCCGGATTAAATAATAGGGTACTTTTTATCCCGGAAAAATATGATATTCCCGAGGGAAAACAAAAGTATTTGTATAGATGGCACTGTGTATATCGTTATTTGTCACATAGGCTACTTTTATCCTTTTGTGATGCGAGCGAAGCCGCGGATAAAAGCTAGTTATAAATATATTTTACTTGTGAATTTGATTAGCTAGACACCTGTCCTCTAAACCAAACAGTTTTAATTTTCAAATAATTTGAATCAAGTTTTGGTACCTAATACAAAAAAGAGTACCAGTGATTTTTTATAACTCGAAATAAGAGATTAATTTGCACTACAACACTAGACTACACAAAAAAGTTGCAAGTGACATTATAATTTGTTTAATTAAACAAAATGTCAGATCACTCTCAGTGTTCCAAACGCATTAATATCTTTAAAATCAAACCACAAACAACCTTGAGAGAGATTAGGTTATTAACGCTCGAAAACTGAAAGGATACTCAATTATAAATCGTGCTTAAGTATAGTTAATTTCACGCCTTTTATCCCCAAAGGGGTAGTCAGAGGTGCACATTACGACACTTAATGCCACTGTACAATGTAACACCAACTTTTCACTATTTTATGTCATGAGTCCCATGTAATAGGGGGTGAGCCTATTGCCATATACCGGGCGCAATGGCACGATGGCCTAGTGGTCGCAAGTGCGACTGCCGGGGGTCTCGGGTTCGATTCCCGGGTCAGGCAAAGTATTACTGGGTTTTTAATTCTTAGTAGTAGCATGGAGTCTGGAATTGTGCCCGATATATGGCCCTATTACATAGGACTTATAACACAAGTAGTCAAAAGTGGGTGTTACATTGTACAGTGGCTATGCACCTTTGCCGATCCCTTCGAGACTAAAAGAAGTAATGTTATGTTTTGTTACTATATTAAGTTGTAAAAAAACGTTGTTGAAATTGTAGATATTTTTTGTGTACAATTTGATATATTTATGTAAATATTTCACGGATACACAAAAATAATTAACATAAATACCATGTATATTAGACATTTTTTTTAATATTTTAATTAATTCGTATATCAAAGTCTATTACTAGTTTCTTAGTAAATGAAACATTTGCATTTATTTTATTTGCAAAAAAAAATGTGGCACGTGTGTAATTTCAAAAATTTTGTTTTCAAAGTAAAAATTAAATTCTGATAGAAATTTGACTCGAAATGCATTTCTTCGATTACCTAGTAGTTTTTGCTCGCTGTCACTCAAACCATCAAACACCAATAATGTAAACAATTTCTGTAACATTTTTATTATTACATTTTAAGGTGTAGATATTTTAGTTCTTAATTATTTATATTAAATTTAGTGTAATGGGTACATTTATTATGTTAATATTGAAATTATGTAGGTAGTTTACTATATAAAAGCACTATTAGTGAATGCATTAATAATAGTTTTTTATGGCATACGCCGTAAACGACCAAACGGGTCACCTGATGGTAAGCAATCGGTGCCACCCATGAACACCTGAAACACCAAGGCGTTACAAATGTATTACCAGCCTTTTGGGAATTGGGAATTTGAGGATTGTGGAGAATTTGGGGATTGGGTAGACTGAGGAGGGACTAATTGGGCCTCCGGTAACCTCACTCAGACGAAACAACGCAATTGTTGTTTCACGTCGGTTTTCTATGAGGCCGTGGTATCACTCCGGTCAGTTAGAAAATAAGTATCAAATTAGTATGTTTACGGTAACCTCTATTTATAGTTGTGTTCTTAATGCAGTTAAATTAATATTCCTGTACATTTGTGTTTAATAATAAACAATTTCTTTCCAGGCAAACAATATCGGAATTCCTCGACTTATCTCTCCTAAAAGATTTGGTCTACGTTAATATTATATTTGGCCTGGCATTAACCTTCTTCTCCGACCTCACATTTTTTACTCTGGAGCCATTATTTTTGGACAAAAAACATCTAAGCAAGGTAAGATCCTTTATTATTTTTGCCACAGAATGAATATTAAAGCCTAAGATAGATGTAATGTCTTTTACTTGAATTATATCTTACTCGGGTGGAATTTCTTTTTTACTGAAACTGTATTTTGTGATTCACGTGTTTCAGTATAAAACTTTGAAACAGTAACTAATTTGTATTGTAACTTTCGTGAGACATAGGTACTAAATAAATTATTATGTTTTCGGCTTACTCACGTAGTAATTTGACGAGGAACTCGACTAGTTTCAAGTCATAATAATTTATTTAGTAACCAATTTTTACGTAATTGTGTAATCTTATAGTGTCCTGACCACATATTATTTTTATTTTTCCTCGATCATAATGCAGGTCATATAGTTCTACCTACAAACTTACAAACTTCGATCCCTATTTCAACACCATATTGAGTAAATTTTTCAGAACTGCAACCAAAATTAATATATTATATTGAATTATTTCATTACTTAAGTGAATAAGGAATAGATCTCTATTTTTCCATATACTTTGAATTCTAAAACAAACAAAAACCAAAGGATCGTTTAAAATACAACAAATCTTTTCTATAGTCGAGCAAATGTAAATACGCTGCATAATTTAGTCCATATGCATAATTCTCATCTTTAACTCCACGCAATTCTATTCTTGAATTCATGCACTACTGGGTTGCCATTACAATTTAAATGAGAGCTAAAGTTCTGGTAACACACGCTAGAATATAACAAAGGGTATGAGAACTATGACTTAGTTTGTTTTGAGCCATTTAGTGGATATTAAATTATACAGTTGCTGCTCTGTATAATTCAATATAACGCCTATTATTTCCTAAACAGTTTTGCAGAAGTGTTCTTACTTAGATACTTTTGTTCACTGTGGGAAAGCTTATCGTTTTTACTGGTTACAAATTAAAAGTACCCTTAACCGACGAGCATGCATGAAAAGACTGATGACTGTTGATGAAACGAAAGAGGTATGTTAGAATAGTAGCGATTGACATGCCATAGTCTCAGCTTGGGAGACAGGTTATGTATGTACTATTAAATTTCTCAGGAATTAAAGTTAGGCGCGCTTCGCATAATCTACTAATCAATACCTTTAAAATCTTTCTTTATAGGTACTTGTACTTATTAATATTCACATAATATGTGAATATTAATTATTATTCAATTCTGCCAACGTTGCCCGAGTGGTCGATTCCCGGGTCGGGCAAAGTATTACTGGGTTTTTAAAAAATTCTCAGTGGTAGCATGGAGTCTGGAATTGTGCCCGGTATATGGCAATAGGCTCACCCCCTATTACATGGGACTCATAACATAAATAGTGAAAAGTGGGTGTTACATTGCACAGTGGTATAATGTGCACCTCTGCCTACCCCTTCGGGGATAAAAGGCGAGATGTTATGTTATAATATGTTAAATTTGCCATTTTCGAGCAAGTCCTAAAAGCCATATTTTTCTTTTTCTTTTACAGGCTGAAATAGCGACAATAATAGCGGTTGGGGGAGCGACAGATATGTCGGCGCGTCTGTTTCTGGGCGTGGCCGGACAATTCTTCAGAATGAATAGCCGATATATGTTCTTCTGTGGAGCCTTGTTTACAGCCATATTTAGATTTGGTGAGTTATTCCTACTTATTTTATTTATGCTGACAAATACCTAAGGCAAATCAATACAGGCGCTTTTCATTGTAATACTAGTCTTGCTAACCAAAAATTTAACCAGATGTATTTTATGTGAATTAAAATAGTTTTCGACCTTATAACCTCTCCGTATACTTCGTTCGTTAGATGAATGAAATGCTCACACTCGGAAGTCGATGTTTTTTTCCAATAGGTGTTATGTCATTTTAAATTTTAAAATGACTAACACAATAAGACCACTCCTAGGTACTGACTTCTTCGAGAAACAAAGACCAACATACCTTATAGTACCAATTTAATTCAATTTCAATATTACATACATTTTTATTTTTCAATGACATTTATAATTTGTTTTTTAATGAAATCTGATTGTATAATAATTGTAATTGTAATTGATGATCAAATTTGTTTTACTAACACTAGTTGTATAAGAAAATTGTTACTAACCATTTATGAGCTCTGAGCTTGAAATAAAGATTACAATTCAAAATTATATGGATAATTTTATCCTTATAAAAGTATTTCGGTATATTAGTCTTTATGTATATCATAGTTAATTAACGACATTATTTAAAAAAGCTTTTTAATCTACTGTATAACTTTACGCAATAACCTGTATATTGAATACCATTAAAAATAAATGCATACAATTTATTTTTATGTATCAAACAAAGCTTTTTACTATGAGTCATATAATAAATTAAAATGCTTTTAATTTTATCACAACTTAAGATGTAGACAGTGATAAAATTTAAAATAGAATTATTATTGTTAATTAAATTAAAGTTGACAAGCCCATATTGCTGTCTATTAACTTGAAATACGACTACATGGTTGGCGCGGTGGCTGAGCAACTGGCTGCCGCGCAATGTGTCGCCGCTTCGATTCCCCTCACGGACAAGACCTCAAAGTCTTGGTGTGATCCACAGATTGTTGTTCAGGATCAGGGGGCTTACTCTTGAATCCAATTCCGATCGATCGACATTAGTATTGTGAAATTTCATACTCTCGAGTTGCAACACTAGCGCCCATTACATTCGTATTGCGTCGATATTGAATAAACTAAATGGTATTAAGTTTGGCTTTAAATTCCGTAGTCTGAATGCTATTTTAATAGATACGATAGGGGTTGTATAATTTTAACATTGAATAATTATTGAGATTTTATTGGTTAGAAATTTAATTACATTGAAATTGGTTTCAAAACTAAGCATCCTAGGTGTCATGTGTATGTGAACTCGTATGTTTGTAAAAACGCCCATGATACAGGAAAATATCCTAGTGTGGGGCAATGTTCTTTTTTCAATAAAAAAATTTATTATATTTCATTAGTTAAATTAATCCGTGGATTTTTCAAATATAACAGCTTTCAAAAATCAAAGCCTTAATTAGTTTTTATTCTGCTGCCTTGACTGCCTCGTTGATCGAGAGGTCGCAAGTGCGACTACCGGGCAAGGAGTCTCAGGTTCGATTCCCGGGTCGGGCAAAATATTACTGGGTTTTAAAAAAAATCCCACGGAAGTAGCACGGAGTTTGGAATATGCTAAGCCAAACGTGGTTGTTACATTGTACAGTGGCATAATATGTACGTCTGCCTACCCTTTCAGGGATAAGAGGCGTGATGTTATGATGTTATGGATACCTACTAGGTATACACAACTTAAAAGCGACTTAATGTTAAAAAGATCATTTTTAAAATTGCCATTCAAAATATAATATGTCAAAGGTATTATTTTTAAACAATATAGTATAATAAAACAATGTCGATATTTAATATATTTAAATAATAATCAAAATCGTAGAATACAATATAATTTGGCATAATTAGGTTTATTTCTATTTAGAGAAATAGAATAATAGAATTTATGACTAGGTATATATAAAAAGGTCGCTCATTTGTAGTCAAATTTGAACAATTCATTTTATAAAAACATACTAATGATGAGTATTATTATTTTGATATTAATTCTGAATGGTATATTGACTATTTGTTCTACCTATGTGATTCTTTATATCTAATGTATTTTTGTATTATAATATAAATACTTTGTATACCTATGTGTTTAAAAATCAAATAAATATAACTTATTAATAATTTTATAAACAGTCGAAATATTAGGTACAAGTTTGGCCATATTATACTTAGTTTTAGGTATATTATAATAATATGTCGAATTTAATACGATTTAGTCAAACAAAATTGGTTTAGCTATTTTATATTAGTAGATTTATAATACCTAGCAACAATAGAGGTATTAAAGCGATTAAATGAATGAAAAAAAGTCATCATAAACGAATTAACGAGTGAAGTGTTAAAATGAAATATTATAATAGTTCTTTAAGTATTATCATATTAATGTCATTTTTATTTGAAACTTTATGCACTATTTATGTTATGAGTCCAATGTAATACGGGGGTGAGCCTATTGCCATATACGGGGCACAATTTCAGATTCCGTGCTACTACTGAGACTTCATTTAAAACCCAGTAATACTTTGCCTGACCCGAGAATCGAACCCGAGACCCCTTGGTAGTCTCATTTGCGACCAGTCGGCCAACGGCCAAGTGAAAAGTGGGTGTTAAATTATACAGTGGCATAATGTGCACCTCTGCCTACCCCTTCGGGGATAAAAGGCCTAAAACTAATATCCACAAGTGGACAAGGTTTCTGTGCACAATTAAATTTTTTAATGTTACATTTATGTATCAAGAATTTTAAATACAACAATAAAACTTAATCAGATGTGAGTTTCTATTGATAACAATAGAAAATATACAAGATATTTCAATTTATTTTATTACAACGAATCTAGATAATATAACAATGCAAGTATTCAAATTTCAGATAAAGCTCTATTTTCGGAATCAAAAATGAATTGATGGAACTAGAAATTAAAAAATATGTTGGAATCATTCAAAACCTGTATATAAAACCAATATATATCATAAAATATTATTACTTTGACGTAGGTAGGTAGCATTTTAGTGATGTCTCCGATTCTTTTTTTAGAAACTTGAGCAATAACATAAAAAATAAAAGAAGGATGAAATGCATCACAATTATATTGCATGCTTTTAGCGCATGATTGGAGACCATAGACAGCTGCAGTAACGATGTGCGATGTTCATAGAGTAGAATAATAAGTAAATTTTGTTTTATCACGATCTATACTTTTTCAATCTGTAGACGATAAGTCTTGTTGTCTACAAAATGAAGTTACCTGAGTTTCAGATTTCGATCGTAAGACCCACCTTTTTCTTAAACCTCAGCTCCCTTTATATTCAATGAAATTCAGTACCTATAACATATCTTCAATACTTTGCGTCCAATACAGTGGCACACCGTACACTGTTGGATATAAATATAGCCTATAGTATCTGTATCCAGTATTGGAAGAAAACTAACCGAAAGTGACGAATATTTTTATGACTTAAGCTGCGTTTCCACCAGTGCTGTGCAGGGATGTATAGCGATTGAGTTACAAAGAACCAATAGAATTGCTTCTATTAACTTCACCTCGGGCAGCACAGCTTCAGTGGAAACGTCAAATCATACATTTGCACAGCACAGCTAGAAATCCTCACACGACATACTTTCATCGCACAATAAAACTCTTGCGGCGCGTCGCGTTCCGCGCGCGCCTCTAAGAGCCATCAGACCACCACAGATGGGGGTCAACGGAGCCGCGGAGAACTTAACGGGTTACCGGGGTTCCGGCTCGAAGTACAGGAGTAGGAACGGGGTGGTTTTTATTCAGTAAGAGTCTGAAACTCCATTCCACCTCCACCAGGCGGGAGAAGACATTCAATGATTTTTCCCCTTTAAAAAAATCACACAAATCTAGTGGAAAATGCAGCCTAAGTTTGAGCATAGTACAAAGTACTGACAAGACTTCTTTTTCTTCCAGTATTCATCCAGTTCACAACCTACGTACCGCTTCTGATCCTGACTGGAGTGCTTGGTTCCTTGAGGTCTCTAGTCCATATCGCACAGCCAATAGTATTAGCAGAGTACGTGCCTATTGAGAGGTATCCACCAGCCTATGGACTCTATATGCTGCTTGCTGGAGCTATCAGTTTGAGTGTTGGGCCTATGATTGGTAAGTTCATGTTATTTAATTATAGGTATAACTGTTTGACGAGATAGCTCGTTCAGTTTCACTCGAAGCCCTAGCTTAGCTCTAAAGCCTAGCACCACAGACGGGGCTGATGCAGATACAGAGCCGCGGAGAACGTAACGGGTTGCCGGGGCTCCGGCTTGAAGTGCAGGAGTAAGAACAGGGTGGTTTATAGTCAGTAAGAGTCTGACACTCCCTCTCGCCTCACCCGGGTGAAAGATATAATGATTGATTTACCCGCATCAAAAAAAAAATCAACGGCCTGTTATCAGTATTACCGTTGCACATCAAAACGGTATTGTGAGTAATAACAGTTAAAATATTGCACCTTTTTTGGGTTATTGAAGTCATGGTTTAATTACAAAAAGAGCTCAATAATTTTGAAATTGATGGTGATTTGTAGACCCATACAAAAACATACGTACCTACATACTTTATTTTCAAAACCAAAATTTAATACAAAGAATTTTAATTTATTTCTTACCAGCCATTACCCGCGGCTTCGCTCGCGTCACAAAAGGATAAAAAAGCCAATGTGACATATACCAATAAACACAGCGCCATCTATACCAATACTTTTGTTTTCCTCGGGAATATCAAGTTGTTCCGGGATAAAAAGTACCCTATTATTTAATCCGGATTTCTAATTATACATCTTCAAAAATTCAAAGCAATCTGTTTAGGTAGTAGTTATGGCGTGAAAGCGGAATAAACAAACAAACAAACTCACTTTCCAATTTATAATATTAGTAAAGATTCTTAGTTTTTTACTTCTATGAAAGTTTTTTTATTTAAATCGCTTGTAGACTAATAACGGATTTATAAAAAAGGTACGTTTTGATATTTGAGTGATCACGACTAAATAAATAAAAAAACAAACGATTGCATCCTGTTTGTGCAGACAGACGTATCACGTCAATAAAACAATATTATTAATGATTGCTTAGATCAATAATAAAGATAAAATATTATATCTATTGATTGGCGACTAAAAATAAGACGCAACCATTATAAAATAACATAAGAAAATTTCACAAAAAAGAAAACATAATCTTATATTTCGTATTATTAATAAAATACATTAAACGAAAATGTAAAGGAAATGTATTTTATGTTTCTAAAACAAGACTTTTATACATTTTACTTAGACAGACAGCCAGATCCTCATTTTAATATTATATTTTTCTCATAATTAACCCAAAAAGCTATATGTTAATCACATATAAATAAAACAAAAGATTTTAATTTGAACATTTATATGTATCAAAATACATAATTATCTAATCTTACTAGTCGGTGTTTTATAGAACATTTTCAAAAATAGCTTTTTAGGTGCAATTTAAATAGTTACACTTAGTTAATTTATGACTTTGCCTAAGTTTGCGAGTACCAGAATTTCTTTGAAACAATTTATTACTTCAAAACTAATATTAAGTACCAATCAAGCTTGGGAAATACAAAAACCATACAAACTTTATTTAATGACAAAAACTGCTATTAAAGCTGCGATTCTCTAACATACTAGCGGACTCGACAGACGTTGTCCTACATATAACATAATAATAATATGCATACAGGGATAGTCGCCGGTTTGTGTGTCCATTACATTTAGATTAAAGTTGTCTAAAGGGCCTCTGCACAGTTGGCTTCGGCCCCGTGAATGGTAAAGACACACATAATAATATAATAATAGGTATAGATAAATAACCTAAAAATTCACTGGCTGATTTGTGAATCTAAGCCATCTATGGCGCCACTCAAACGTATACAGAAAAATTCATTTAAATCGGTCAAGTTGTTTTTTTTTAAGAGGTGAAAATCATCGAATGAATGCTCCCGCCTGGGTGAGGCGGGAGGGAGTGTCAGACTCTTACTGACTAAAAACCACCCCGTTCCTTCTCCTGCACGTCGAGCCGGAGCCCCGGTTACCCGTTAGGTTCAGGAGGAGTTCAATGACACGTACAGCAGAAATTGTATATATATAAAGATAAAATAATGCTTTAATTGATATTTTTCAGACAAAAAAAAATTTTATTCTTTTGTCAGGTTCCATATGAGAATAATGTAACAGATAGACAGACAGTTCCATTATAATCTAATATTAGTATCGATATACACGTTTTATGACCAGAGTTCTACGACCGCCAATTAGTATATTTTTAATTAAAATAAGACAACGCGATTTGTTTAACATTTTATTGTTAATTAGCATTTAAAATTAAAATATACCTATTTTTACTAATGAGTCTAAAATATATTTAATGTCTCATCGATCATTTTAAGTAAATCGATAACAGTTTGTTGAAAAAGGAGAGAAAACTTATTTCTTTTTTTGTCTGTAATATGGTGATTCTCAATAAATTAACCGACTTCAAAAAAAGGAGGAGTTTCTCATATCGTATATGTGCTTTTTTATGAACAAATCCCCGCCTTGCGCTGCCTCTCTTAAAACAAACTCCTAAGTTAGGTGTCACTTAATGATATTTTGGTTTTCACTCACAGATAAGGTTAGTTTAGTTTATGGGCCACGCTAAGTAACTCTTGTTAAGAGATGTTTAAGTGGTGGTTGGTGAAAGCGGACATTAGTTACGTCGTACTATTATTAAAGACATCTAATTTAAAACTTTACAAGGTACCTATATAGTTTCGTCTTTTTACATTTTAAATTATATTTAGCTCTAAATCACTACAGGCACTCTCTCTCTCTATTGTGAGAATATCTAGTGTTTATATCCTCTAGATTTTAGAACACATTACAATCAATCTGAAACATTAATTACAATTAAAGCACGGTCCATTATCTATTCCATCCATCAACGCTAAACATTGACATACACATTATATCAAGCTACGATAATCCAGTATAAACTGATCGTTGTATCTACGGAAAGACCAAACAAAGCGAGACCAAAATACACTGGATTTTATAACTCGATGTGCAGCCGTGTGTACATGTACACATTTGCTTCAGTAGACTATCCAACTTATCATGGTCCCGCGTTGTATGATTGTTCCGTGCATTTGAGGGTCAATTTATATTGGTTTTGATAGCTTGATATGTAGTGTGTACTATTACTACTATTGAATACGATTCAGCAATCCTGTTCAATCAATATCATACACATCTAATGATGCGCACGTCCTATGGTGTCTGTCATTTCAATTTGTGTGTTCAGCATTTCATGTGTAGGAACACTGAATAGATACTAGGTACTATCAACACATTAATTCAGTGTCATGCCATTATTACTGCTGAGTTGCAAACCAATTTGGTTTGGTTTGCAGCTTTTGAAGGGAATTCATTTTGATGAACTTGTTGAGTTGATGAAGATATTAATTCTAGTTAAAGTATAATAATTAAGTAAACTCCGTGCTGCTATTGAGAACCGTGAATCCTAAAACTCAGCCTATAAGTGCTTACTTACTTGATATAATAGTTTAAGGTCTGAATCACAATTTGACTGCTGGGCAACTGACTGCCGTGCAACATTTCGCGGTTTCGATTCCTGCGCGGAACAACAGCTCTTTGTGTAATCCACAAATCATTGCTCCGGCTCTAGGTCTGACGTGTATGTGAAATTGTATGTTTCTAAACGTGTGTAAAAAACATGTTTATTTTAGAATATTCCACAAATATTTATGTTTTCTTCTTGTTTACAGGTTTCGTCCGAGACTACACAGGCAGCTACGCGATAGCTTTCAACATGTTGACAGTCTGCAATCTGCTATGCGTACTACCATGGGCCATTGAAGGAGTAGTGAAATATAGAAAAAATAAGAACACTGCCAATAATCCTCCAAAGACGTAAAATATAATTTAGCATAATTCTGAGGAATAAGTATTTTTTTTTATAAAAGAATTTGATACTCTATTTAGACTTGCAATTATTTTCGTTTTGTGTGTATGAATTTCTTAGATGTACAATGGACGAAATATTCGGTGCAGTGCAGAATTTAATTCGTGTTAAAATGAAAGTAATTTCAATATACAAAAGCTTTTTGCTACTTAAAACTTTTAAGTAGCTTAGACATGTGTACATATTTGCACCAACTTAAAAAAAATTAAAATAATTTATAATTTAAATAAATGGTTGCACTTCTTATTATTGTTGAATGAATTTAAAATAATGCAATTAGTTGAAACCTTGCATAATGGAGAAAATTTGAATCGTAAATTGTCAATTGTGTCGGATTTTTATTTTATAACTCAACATAATTACGTTTAGTCATAATATGCGATGAAATGCCGAATAATTAATTTAAGTTTATTTTTAATTATGTCTTAATTAGGCTCAAAGAAAATGAAATTGTATATATTTTTGGACACTGCCGTTATTAATAGATATATTTTAAGGTTAACTTTAGTCCAGACCTGTAGATATACAGTGTATTGTTTAACTAAAAAATATGCCATATCTTGCCGTAGTTAGTAAAAGACTATTAATATGTATACTTTGTATAGAATAAGAGAAAGAAATAGTCTTCGTTTTGCTAGTGTATTATTAGCTTAAATTATAAAAAGAAATATTATTAAAGGTAGAATTACTTATAATTATTATTTTTATATAAATAAAGTCAGACGAAGATCTTTGTTTAGATATTTGGGTAAGAATTTTATAATTTATTTTCGGAATATCTAGTCTGATTGTATATAATTAAAAAGTTTGAACATTAAGGCTATTATGTAAATAAAACCGAGTCATTAAACGTGTTACTTAATTTGACTCAAGTATTTAGAGTGGCAACGGTAATTTTGTCAATTGTACTTTTTATAAAAAATATATATTTTATATATGTTGTTTTATGTATGTATAAACTTATTGTGTATAACTTATGTTATTATAATTCTTATGTATTTGTGTTAATAATTTATTACGTGTATATAATGTAATATAAACCTGTGAATCCTACGATTGACTGCGATAAAATGCAATTCTTGTCAGCTAAGACAATAAATAATTTAATACTTTGAACTGCTTTTCTTTCCTATTTTATTTAGCAAAAACATAAGTATAGGTAACCTAATTTTTTATACTGTGATACCTACCCTGTTTTTTCAACATACCTACAACATAAATGACGTTTACTTAGTATATTCATTAAATATTCAGATATAAGGCAAATTTTTTCAACACCAAATACTTACATTTATTGACGAATAATTCTTAATACTTGACAATAGGGATGATGACAGGGTATGAAAATTAAAAATCTAATTAGACCGTCAGTTAGGTAATGAAAAAAAATTAGACACGTATTTTTTATTATGTCGTATAAGAAAACAATACTTAAATAAAACGAATCAAAGTTTAGGAGTAGGTAGCTGACGTAGCTACCTACTCCTAAACTTTGAAAGTGTAAATCGTACTCAAAAGTGACATTATGCGATATTTCAAATAAATATTATCTTAGGAACTATTCGTTTCCGTAAGAAAATAAAAAAATAGGTGTCTAATGTTTTAAATAATCTATCAGACGGACATTAAAGTAAAAATTACTCATCTACCCTATTTTTACGATCTCCGGCCACCGTAAGCGCGGGCCTGCGGACGGCGAGCATGGGTGGCTCCCCGTCCGACCAGAAACAGACCCGAGCGTACGGCGCGTCGCGTTCCGCGCGCGCCTCAAAGAGCCATCAGACCACCACAGATGGGGCCCAATAGGGCCGATGCCGATTCGGAGTCGCGGAGAACCTAACGGGTAACCGGGGCTCCGGCTCGACGTGCAGGAGAAGGAACGAACGATTCGATGATTTTCCCCCCTTAAAAAAAAACTGTAGAATAAAGTTGACATAATTATGACAGTTATTAGTAGGTATGTAAAAATAGGGTTTTTTTTTTTTTTTAAGGGGGAAAATCATCGAATGACTGCTCCCGCCTGGGTGAGGCGGGAGGGAGTGTCAGACTCTTACTGACTAAAAACCACCCCGTTCCTTCTCCTGCACGTCGAGTCGAAGCCCCGGTTACCCGTTAGGTTCTTCGCGACTTCTACAGTTAGGTACTTACTGATGATTGAAAAATTCGGCCCTTAGTTATCTTCTTGCTATGATAAGACTGATCAAAATTGTATTCATTAATTTATTAGACTGCCTCGTTGGACGAGTGGTCGCAAGTGCGACTGCCGGGCAAGGGGTCTCGGGTTCGACTCCCGGGTTTTAAAAAAATTCTCACTAGTAACACACACGGAGTCCAGAATTGTGCCCGGTATATAGCAATATCTTACCCTCACCCCCTATTACATGGTACTCATAACATAAATAGTGAAAAGTGGCTGTTACATTGTACAGTGGCATAACGTGCACCTCTGCCTACCCCTATGGGAATAAAAGGCGTGATGTTATGTTATGTCATTAATTTATTTGTTGTTTCAATACTTTTGCACATTTTTTTTCTATTATGTATTGGTTTGAAACTCAACAACGCACTTAATGCTTTTGGTAATAATCTACCAGCCTACTTTAGTGCGGTACAGAGACAGGGCATGGTAGGTGCAATAAGCTGTCGGGGCAAGTCCCTTAACGCCAGACGGTACCTAATGCCGGATACTTATATTATCTCGATGCCTAATAACGCGAGCGATTCAATTTTTAAGGAGAAGTCTCCCAGTGGCAAACACCTGAGATTTTTAGTAAAAATTGAATACCTCGTGTTATCATTTAAATAAATGAAATAGATGAATAAAAATGTTGCCCCCCACTAGGATTTTCTCCTATGTCGTGGGTGCGTTTACAAACATACAAGTTCACAAACATACTGACTGCACGGTTGGCGCGTTGGCTAGGCAACTGGCTGTCGCGCAACGTGTCGGGGGTTCGATTCCCGCACGGAACAATTCTTTGTGTGATCCACAGATTGTTATTCCGGGTCCGGGTGTCATGTGTATGTGAACTTATATGTTTGTAAACGCATCCACGACACAGGAGAAAATCCTAGTGTGGGGCAAAGTTTAAAAAAAATCCTCTAAAAAAAAAAACATACACATGACACCCAGACCCGAAACAAGCTTTTGTGGATCACACAAAACAAAGTGTTGTTCCGTGCGGGAATCGAACCCGCGACACGTTACACGAGATGTCGAAATATAATTTATCGAGATAATACAAGTATCCGGCGTTGGGTGCCGTCTGGCGTTAAGGGACTTTCCCTATAGCTAAAACGACCAATAAAATAAAATATCAGTTACATACGAACATAGATATATAATCAGGTATTTAGATATATTAAGATTTCCCTACAGAAAGATAAAATATACGTCACAGTGGAAAATGTCAACCGTTTATCTTTGTCTCTGATAAACGTAAAAAGTATATTCCATTAACATACCTAATAGATGTTGAATTTCTACGATTAATAAATGGAGTATAATTACTCTACTCAGATGTACTATGTTGACTGTAGAATTTTTAATAAAAAAATCCTTATCCGTAAGTACTGCTCCAAAAGGTATTGAAAGAGACTTCAAGAGACCGCGGGACAGCAATAGTCTCTGATCAACCTGAATTCTAAACTGCTATCGCCAATCCTGCCCACAGCGGCCTTGAATTGGGGATAATGGTGATGATGCATACCGTCCCATTAGTAGAATAATGTTCTATTTGCAAATTGTCGACTTTTCAGTAGAGCGATTATACATTTCGCGCGCACATATTTGCTTATAAATCTGTTATAAATGATACTAGCTACTTAATATTTGTACAGTATGCACAGAAGTTAGTACCGTTTATGATAATATAATTATTTGTTTTATAAACTATGCATTTTCAAGTATAATGGGTCGCATGTGCACATACAACGTTCTTTTGCCAAAAAAAATATTGAATGAGATGTCTTAAGGATACATAAAACAATATTCGACGAAACTATTCACGATACATCGGCATATTAAACATTATTTTACGAATTTTGGTGGTTTTATCCGTGTTTTATATGAAACTGTAATACTAAGAAAGTAGAATTGGTTTTAAATTCATCATTATTACTGAGTATTTTTATGTATTTAAAAACGTTGGTGTTTTCTTAATCAATTTATTAGTCAATGTAGTAATCAATATACGAGTAAATTAAAAATAAATACAAACTGACTACATACACTATGAGGAATAACCTAATCAAGATATTTATTATAAAATTATTAAAAGAGGCGACAGAAAAACAGAATAATGCTCTTACAATTCTTACAAAATAAATACATGGCGATCCATAAGAAAAAAATATTATAGATCACTTAAAACTAACTATTGACTTATTTCTTTCTGTGGTTATTCTCATGAATAAATCAGTCCTATATAATTGTAATATAAAGTTAGCTTAATAATAAAAACACAATAAATAATTATGGCACCATTGTGAATATATTAAAAAAATATTAAAAATAAAAAATTAGTCTCAAACATAGAAAACAATTATGAAAACACTAAACTAAAGAACAAACAATATACTAACTACTAGTCTACTAAAGAGGAAAGATTTAAATTTTTGTTTGTTTGAATTGAAAAAGGCTCCGAAACTACGGAACGGATTTCAAAAATTCTTTTAGCGTTGGAATCTTACATACTACACCCCTTATAAGAAAAAGATAGGAACCGTGTTAAAATTTCGAAAATGTAACCCGATTTGTGAAAAATCAACCATAAATATTGCTTAATCTATTGACTACTAATAGAAAACTGTAAAAGCAAATGCTTTTGTATTCTTTTGAATTCCTATCCCCAATCCTTTAAAAGAGCGCGAACGAAGCCTTGGGCAGAAGCTAATCCATTAAAATAACGTATTCATTTAATTGAATTAGAAAATCCCTGATCCTAATGCAGTTACATAGTAGTATTAGTCCTTGAAAACCCGTAGCATTTCATTTGTTTTAAGTAATTTTTAGTCCATCGAGGTCAAATTTACCATGAATGTTTGCCCGTCTCCTTTAGGTAATAGTATTAGAAGTAGCGTCTTACCGGTACAAATCAGGCCACATTATTAGTACCAAAGTAATAACCCGGAAGTCCCAGAATTAGAATATGTGCTATATCTCAGGACTCTATCTTTTAAACCACTGAACGTATTTGATTGAAATTTGGTTTACGGTTCACTGGCACTGAAACAATCACTGGGACAATCTATGGCTTAAAATACTGAACCTATTTGAGTGCAACTCTGTTGAAATTTGTACATTCGGACAATACCGTCTAGATATCATTACGTCGTGTTTTACTTAAATAATGTGATTGGATAGATGCAAATGAGTTCACTTGGTCACAACCGCTAGTGATCATGTCTTCTACGATTACCTTTTTTTAATTTTTGTGGCGGTCTCTGTAATCGTCTTCTACGACAGTGCTGTTGCAGTACTTATCTCATGTAGTTTTAACTATAGTTTTGTAGCGTATTGCGTCGCTTGCTCGTTATAATATGTATAAATAAAATTGCAATTCTTTGGTGTATCCTGATTCAAACATCTGTTTTTCGTCTTGGTGGTGTACTTTATTTCATATTCCCTATTTAATGCAAATTCTAACTCAAAGATCGTCTATTCCACTGGTACCACAAACTCACCAATTGAGCCTGACCTGCTCTTTCCCCATCGTTTGAGAAATCATCATTGAAAAAATTTAATAATAAAATTATATTGGATATAATTATTTTTCCTTTGATTCTGTAAAAGTAACAAGGAGTATATGCATAACATAATAGTTTAAAAAAAATTAGTAAAGTAAATGTATGTACATAACTTAGATATATGTAATTTGATGAGCGCTCGAGTGGTCTACTGTGGTAGTACGCACTCACTTTTTCACGTGTCACTGTTTTATTTTTTTTTTGCTCTAAACTGGGAGTTTAAAAAATAAACTATTTCGATTTTTCTAATACAAAAAGCAAACATGTCAAAAAGGGAGGCGTGCACTCTTGTGTTTAGGTCCATTGGTGTTTTCAATGTAAACTTACATTAGTTACTTTTTTGCTATACCTACCTAGTACATTTAGTTGTTAATAGATTATTGAATAAGCTGTTCATATTTTAAATTAAATTTAACCATTTTATAGCAATTTTAAGATTTCGAATATTGTTTTATAATAAAACCGTTGGTAAAAAGAAGTGTCATTTGCATATACGGCACTCACTTTAATTATTTTTTTTGTAGAATAATGTTTTATGCGTACTTGCGGACGAAAAAAATATAAAATTTTACGTAGTAAAATGTACTAGGTTTATAAGAAACTGGAAAAATAGGGGAAAAAATAAGACAAGTCCTATTAGATACCGTTATGTTATATAAGTTATTATTAAAGTATTTAGTTCAGATTTAAGATCTAATAAGTAAGCTTTGGTATTTCGTAAAAAAATGTTTTATGTGATTATAAATACTGTCTTTGTTGGAAATTTATAAAACGTAGTGTAAATTGTATCAAACCATTATATACAGCATATTTTATCAAATTTTGGGTATTCATTGTAACAAACACCACTCGCTGCTACTTCGTCGAACAACGTTACTTAGGATGAAGCGACACGGCACGCGCAGCTAATTGCGCAGGAGCAAGGCGGAGAATATTGTTGTATGTGATCATGCATAGTTATTTTACGTAGTCGGCGCGGATAAAACTTTATTCGAGCATTGTATCTTTTGAATTAATTGATAAAAATATATAAAAATAGTATTAATCGATAGTTTACATTATAAGGATGACGAATTTAACATAATATGAATTTCGACACATGTGATCATAACACTTTATTCTTCCAATGGGACGATACATCTACTATTGATGTTAGTATTCAAAAATGGAATTTCATTCAAATATTCATGCCAGTTTTCAATAAGAAAAAGAATGACTGCACGGAACAATTCTTTGTGTGATCCACAGATTGTTGTTCCGGGTCTGGGTGCCATATGTAAGTGAATTTGTATGTTTGTCAATGCACCCACGACACGGGAGAAAATCCTAGTGTGGGGCAACGTTAAAAAAATCATATTAAATAATATTTAAACAAATGTAGTATGTAATAAGTTAATTATATAAGAAGATTTTATTATATAGATATTATCACCGTATAATATTTATATCAAATAATTTGTAATATAAGGAACAGTACACACTGTGCAACTGATTTGGTACCGACTAAGGAGTAATCATGATAATATTGCCTTATCAACAGTATCTGTGTATGTAAGGTAAGTAAAAAAAGAAGCATTGATAAAGTCTACAAATTGCTGACACTAGTGGTTGAAGAAAAAGGCAAGTAAATATTCGCTCGTTATCCACAGATATATTTAACGGATTAAACTACAAATAAAATCGACAAGAATATACTGGATGATGGCGTTTCTCTGCCTCTAAAATTACAACACAAATCCAACATTCGAAGAGATATTATTAGAACAAACCGTGTTTTACTCAAAGGGCCTCTTGATGCGCATATTCATCGACAAAACACAATTCTTATTCACAAACACGAACGTATTGTCGTGTAGTGTGCGCATCGCGTAATTATTTATCAGCTGTCAATTTGTACTGTTTTTAACAGTCACAGAGCATATACAGTACTGAGTCAGTACATGTATTTGTTTATCACCAGTATCCGGCCAGTACAAGTGCGACGCTTATACAGGACGGTTTATCAGTGTCTGTGAAATGAGTGAATCGAATAATTTGAATTCGGTCGAAGAAGTTCTGCAACCAAAGAGAGAGACTTTGAGAAGTGTAACAGAAGATGTTTCGGAAGAAAAAGTGGATAGAAACAGCTGGGGTTATGTGGTCGGGTTTGGAACGATTATAACGTTTGTGAGTATTCTTGTTTTGGGTGGAGTGATTTAATTCAATAATAATAATAATATTCATAAGCCAATCTCAATAACCAATCGTTTTAGTGTTATTAATAGTTTTTAATGCATTTGGTCGCTAGTGAACTATTACTTGCTAGTTGAAAAGCGTACAAAGACTTGTCCCTTTTTAGAGGATCTGTGAAACAAAGACTCTATTGTTCCTTCTTTATAGGTTATGTTTACTTTCATAGACACATCTAACTGACCGACAACTAAACTTGATTTTAATCATAAGTCTAGATAAATAAAGACGATTTTAAAAAGTAAATAAATCATGAGACCGTTGTGCAAACCTTGTTTACAATGGGGTGCATTGCTCTTGTTTATTTTTAGCCTGCGCGGTATTTGTTATAAATGCGAACGTGTTTGTTTTGTTTTTACTAACAATTGTTCCAGTATCGAATACATTCTTTTGTTCTTATTTTTAAATTGTTTTTTTTTTACTTTTACGTATGATAGAACAGTTGTTCCCTCACATATTACAGACTAGCTACTTCCGCCCGGTTTCACACGCTCTGCTCAGCTCCTATTGGTCGTAGCCTGATGTTTTATAGCCTATAGCCATCCTCGATAAATGCGCTATCCAACACAGAAAGAATTATTCAAATCAGACGTGTAGTTACGGAGATTAGTGCGTTCAAACAAAAAAAATAAATAAGTATAAGATATCGCCATGTTTGTTTCCCTACTGGGGTAAACAATGACAACAGCACTTCAAATGATTCGATACGATTCTACTCTTTTGTTTTTTATTCATTCATTAGTCTATTCATGCATACAGCTCCATCGCTGGTTTTATGAATAGTTTTAATTTAAGTTATAGATTTTTATTAACAAAACTGACAAAGAGTAACACAATCCACTCCATGCTAGCATTATGTTGACCTATTTAATATCTAGAGATTGCATTTACCGACCTACTAGTAGCCTGGTCATTCAGCCATCACGCCATTACAGGTCCAATTGTCCAATAAAAGAATGATTGAATAATAGTCTATTGTTTCAAAAGAGCAGGCACACGTAGTTGAAGAAAGTTATAAAAATTTGAACTAGTTTAGTACCTACGACACTGCTCTCTGGGATGGGAAATGTTTAATATTAGTCCCATACTAGGATTTTTACCTCTGTCGAGGGTGTGTTTACAAACATACAATACCACATTCAAATGACACCCAGACCCGAAACAAGAATATGTAGATTACACAAAGCCTTGCTCCGAACCAGATACAGGATGCGCAGCAGCCGGTTGCCCAGCAGTAGTATTATGTTAATCATAAATCTGTATAAATAATTAAATAGCAATAATTAATTAAAATCCCAATCCGTCTTCGCAGGAACACTCGCATATTATGTCTCCTTTATAACATCCTCTTTAACCCAGCCTATCCTACTTATCTCGTCGCGGAGAACCTAACGGGTAACCGGGGCTCCGGCTCGACGTGCAGGAGAAGGAACGGGGTGGTTATTAGTCAGTAAGTCTGGCACTCCTTTCCGCCTCACCCAGGCGGGAGCAGTCATTCGATGATTTTCCCCAATTAAAAAAAAGCCGGTTGCCCAGCCGCCGCGCCAACCGTGCGGGCAACACGTGCAGTCAGAGTCAACACGTGCAGTCCTTTGAAGTAAACCTAGTTGAACCTTACCCAGCTTGGTTCATTATCTCTGTATCTGTGTCATATTTTAATGCTTTACACTCAACACATTTGTCATTACCCTTTTAATCTTCCCGCTGGTGTCATAAAAACCAACTAAGGGATTACATATTAAATAGAGAAAGGCTACAAGCGACTTGAGATAAACATGAACCATTTAAAATCCAATCTCCAATCCGTTTGCTACTCAATGAGATTGTGGCAAATCATATCATGGACTGTTTAATTAGTGATATGACAACTTATATTAACAGCCTCCAGCCAATTTCTGTCGGAAATCCTTTGACTGGTGGCTGGATTTGATAGGCTGGAAAAAAATAAATAAAAAAAAAGCTAGCTAGACTTTTCTAGCTAGTTTTTTTTATTTTGCGGGAAATCAGCCTATGACTTCTCCCGCCCGGGTGAGGCGAGAGGGAGTGTCAGACGCTTACTGACTAAAAATCATACTGTTCCTAATCCTGCACTTCGAGCCGGAGCCCCGGCAACCCGTTAAGTCTTCCGCGGCTCAAAGTCTAGGTAGCTTAGCATTCAGTTCTATATCAGCATAGCCCTGTCGACAAATTAATAAAAATAAAATATTATGTAATTTTATAACCGTTCATAGCCTTGACAACACGTTAGGTATCGTGTTTCCGTATCAGTTGCATGCATGATGCAGTTTATAATTACATTAGGGCCAATAGATAGAATAAATATTAAACATAGATAGATTGCAGTGTTATTAATTACGACATTATGTATTTAATTGTATAATTTTATTTAATTTAATATTAAAATAATAAATGCTGCTATTGAATTGACAACACAGTTAGTGCGGTGGCTGGGCAACCGGCTGCCACGCTACGAGTCGCGGGTTTGACTCCTGCCCGGAGGAACTCTTTATGTGATCCAAAATTGTTGTTCCGGGTCCGGTTGAGTTTCAACTAGGTTTGCTTCAAAGGATTGCACGTGTTGACTGTACGTGTTGCCTGCACGGTTGGCGCGGTAGCTGGGCAACCGGCTGCCGCGCAACCTGTAGCTGGTTCGGAGCAAGGCTTTGTGTGATCTACACATTCTTATTTCGGGTCTGAATGTCATGTGAATGTGATATTGTATGTTCGTAAACGCATCCACGGTACAGGAGAAAACACTTGTGTGGATGGTTTAAAAAAAAACTAACTTTAGAAACGTATCTTATACCCAGTAAATTACATAGAAGTACAGTTTTCCACCAAGAAAAGTTTTATATGTATGATGGAAAACATAAGGAAGAAAACCGAAGCAAACAATTATGAGAAACTAGGCTGAATAAATATAACAAAAGTAGAAAGAATTTAAATACTTTGATTTAAGAATAGGTTCTAAGCAATATGAATAATATAAATACAAATAAATAAAAAGTAAAATGTTTACGTCTTAAAATTACCTAACAAAAAAAAATATAATAAAATTTAGGAATTAGAAAAAATCGATTGATCAAAAAGCTTACGATTGATAGATACAATAATTCTGTAAAAATACCGAAAAACTTACAATAAATCTTTGACCAACCGGGGAATCATACCCTCTTGTTTTTATAATAACTATCGTGAGACATACTAAATCGTAATAGACATACGTGAGCTTTTCTCAGTATACTCACGTGAGTAACCCGCGTTTTTACTTAATCATACCCTCTTGTTCAGCAGTCTATCAGTCATTGGATAGTCTGTGTACTTAAAACAAAGTTAAAGCATTGAATTGATAATTTGTTGGAATCTCTGTTAGAGATGGATCACAAATGACTTTCGATTCGATGGAAAATCACAGCTCAAGATTTCGGAATGCTGATCATTTTTTTGTTCTAAATTAATGCTGTGGAAATGAGTTAATTACGAGGTATTGAGGTGATTAGGAACAGTACGAGACTTATGAACTGCTGCGAAAGGCTTTCTCACAGTTTCTGCTGCCTGTCCCTTTTATTTCATGTTATTGAATAATTCTTTCATAAACTACGTAACTTGACCTCTAACATAGTCAAATCAAAGTCAAAGTCAAAGTCAAAATCATTTATTTCAATTAGACCAGAAAGGCACTTTTGAACGACAACAAAAAAAAATTTAAAAGTGAAGCTATATGCTCATTCCAAGGTGTGGATTCCTATAGAGAAGAACGAGCAAGAAACTCCATAGGTTACTCTTTTTCAATCAAGTTCACAATTCTCCAGTTACATAGTTTGGTTGTTTTGATTGTGCGAGAACAATGTTGCACGGTTGGTGCGGTGGCTGGGCAACCGGCTGCCGTGCAACGTGTCGCGGGTTCGATTCCCGCACGGAACAACACTTTGTGTGATCCACAAATTGTTGTTTCGGGTCTGGGTGTCATATTGTGTATTGTGTATGTGAACTTGTATGTTTGTAAACGCACCCACGACACAGGAGAAAATCCTAGTGTGGGGCAACGTTTTTAAAAAAAAAAAAAAATGTAATACTAATATACAGTCAAAGAGATCGAAAAAAAATAACCTTAAAGGACAGTAAAAAAAATAAAAACCCAACTTCAATATCCCTCTTTTTTGGAAGTCAGTTAATTAATATACTAATACTACAATACTAATATACTAACATTGGTGTAAAGTAAGTGTAACAAACACTTTTTTGAAAACCATCGCATCAAAATAGGTTTAGGCAATTGCAAGATAATCGCGCACAAACATACATACAAGTCGTATTTTTTTTAATGGGACAAGTCCGCCACACCCTCCCAAAACCGCTACAACTCCTGTAAGCCAGGATCTACAGTAGATACAACCACGAAAACACCGGAACATTGAAGTCCGGTGCGTCCCAGGGACATGAGTAACTGTCTTGTTTCCCGCAGCGAAGTGAATCAGAAGAGGAGAAGAAGAAAAACTATAGTTTCCACTTCCTTACAAGTCATATTGAGAACCTCCTTCTTTTTTTTAAGTCGGTTAAAAATACTGTAATATTCTACCTTTTGCTGCAATTTGGGTTTATTCTAGCGGTAACCCATAGAGAGAATTTCAGTTTTAATCCTTCACTTCTACAATCAGCATATACTTAAGAAACTTATGCAAAATTTCTGAGTATTTAACTTTTTACATTATATTTATATTGTACCTTATATAAGTGCTACTTACCTCTCCCAAAATAAAAGGTGTTGTGTTATATTGTAAACCTTTCTATAACTTCTAGTTTCGGTTAAGCGTTGCGTTGTTAGTCAACCAATTACTCAATCACTCACACTAACGGAAGAGTCTCATATAAATTGGTGAATCCGCTGGTTTCGAAGCCATTCCAATTATGAAACAGTATTTCATTAAATCGAATTCCATTTTCTAAATAAAACAATGAAACAAAGAACGTTCGTTCCACAATATTGTAATTAAATTGTGAAACCGATTCGAACCAAACGTTCGCGTTCCGTCCAAATAATTTAATTGCTGTTGACTTTGGTTAATCATTATTCGTTAAATATTTTGTAGCTATATTCTGGGTGTCTAGATAAGTAGGAATCGTTTGGGTGTGATTTTATTTCTACAATTAGGTAGACTGCCTCGTTGGCCGAGTGGTTATAAGTGCAAGGAGTTTCGAGTTTGATTTCCGGGTTGGGCAAAGTATTACTGGTTTTTATTTTAATTTCATTATTAGCACCAAGTCTGGAATTGTGCCCGGTATATGGCAATAGGCTCATCCTCTATGACATGGGACCCACAATATAAATAGTGAAAAGTGAGTGTTACATTGTACCGTGGAATTAAGTGCCGTAACGTGCACCTCTGACTAGCACTTCGGGGTTAAAAGGCGTGATGTTATATTATTGTCAAGTCATGTGTACAATATAATGTATGTGTATGTGACACAATACGAAACACATACACTAAGCCAAGTCAAAGTCTGTTATTTTTCTTCTGATGTGTAACCCTTCATTTATCAGAATATATTCAGAACTGTCTAATAACTTCTATGTAGAAACTCCACGACATTTTCGACTTGAATCTAAAAATAATATTCAACCGCACCTTTCAAAATTATTAATCTAAAAGTAAATTGAAATGCGTGGGTTTTCTTTTCATTTTCAATGTTACTTCGACTGTAATTCATTCAGGTGCGAAATAACGAATTATGGAATTGAAGAATTGGTATATTTATCTTGTCCAACTCTTATCGGATTTGGAAATCGTCTTTAATAATGAATTTTCTTTACGTTTCCTAATTTCATTCTTAATGTTACAGATTGCTGGTATTGGGCATGTGAATTCTTTTGGACTGATTTATAATGATTTCATTAATGAGACGCAATCGACTGCCAAGTCTTTAACTTCTGCGCATGGAGTATTTTCTATAATGCTGGCTATTGGAGGTGAGTTTCTCATACTGTTAAAACTTTATCTTAAATGATTACTGTACAGGGAGAAATTTTGATCGAATTGTCTGAAGTGCAGGCTCCTTGGAGCATTTTTGAACCTACAGGTTCAAAAAATTCCAGTCCTATTTATTAAATAAGGATTACTATAAAAAATATTATTAAAAAGAGATTAAAGTACCTATCAAACTGTATTTATAAACATCCTGTTACAGTTTTTATAATAACTATCGAGAAACATACTGAAACAACTAAAAACTCACGTAAATTCCCCTCTCATTTCTCAGTATTATTTTTTGTTACTTATAGGAATAATACTCAACAGCATTACAAAGAAATATTCACTAAGAACAGGAGGCTTGATAGGAGCCGTCTTACTATGCACAGGCTCCTTCAGCACCATGTTCATAACGAACGCCAACCAACTGCCAATCACATTTGGCGTCTTCCAAGGGATCGGTTTTGGCATAATGGTCCCAGTATGCTACTCAACTTTGAACTACTATTTTGTAAGGAAAAGAACCACAGTGATGAGTATCTGCAAGGCCATACAAGGAGTGTTACTGATGTGGTACCCGCAACTCATAAAGACGATCATGTCAGTATATGGGTTCAGAGAAACCTTGTTCTTATTGGCTGGAATGTCCCTCCACACCTTTCCAGGAATGCTATCAATGATAACTGACAAGAAGAAACCGAGAAACATAAGAACAGCAAGTATTTTTTCGTTTGAGCTTTGTAAATTGTGTGACGAATTTGTTTATGACATTGAATTTCATTAAATGTTTACAGATGATTTAGAAAGTGGGAAACAATGTGATAATGAAGATCTGTTACTTTCGAAAGACAATGAATTGAAAGAGGATCATAATAAAAGTGTAATACTTCTCGAGAAAATTAGGTGAGATTACTTTAAGTACTTGTTTGATGAACATAGGTAATATAAGAATGACAATACTGTTCACAAGGACGTCGAAAGAGGACGGATATAGACTCTTGAAACAACGACTGTGGCACCTGGCTACTATAGACTTACCAGCAGAAAACACACACATTGACACGACGGACATTTGTCTAGTGACATGGCCCGTCATTACACTTCATACATTACGGTGTTGCACGCACACACAGACATAAACACACCAATACCATTGACATTTTGGTGCCTCAATCATTTCTAAGTGACATTACGTCCATCTTTTTATCAACGTCCTCGACTGTTAATATGTTACTCATGCTTACTTGTCAAACATGAATATCTCAGCTAAGCCTTTTATCACAGCTTCAAATATAGCCGGTATTTATTCCGAGACCAAAAAGTGTATACATTGTTTCGTACGCATTGTGCGTAGTAAAAACGTAATATATACTCATGGCAAAAACCTTATAACACGAAATGATATTTTGGGATGTCCAAATCACGAAAATATAGCATCACAAAGAAATCTAAATCTAAGTTGTCATGTGTATAAAACAGATACAAGTAGATCAAAGAGTTTCTAAAAAACGCTGTCATTATCTTTTGTCTATTATTTTTTAATTTATTGTTTATGGATATAGTATAATATTGTTGCTTATCATATTTTGCTTTACAGACAGAAGATCGTGGAAATATTAAACTTCAATATATTGAAGGATGCCGTTTACTGCAATATTTGTCTAGGACAAAGTTTCGTCAACTTTTCCGATCTCACTTTCTTCATACTACAACCGATGCTGCTATTTCAATACGGATATGATAGGGTATGTTTTTTTGTTCGATTCAATAACTATTTAAGTTACAGATCTACTTTGTAATTTTACATATTTTTTTTTAATTTTTACCATTATATATTTTTATTAAGTTTGAATTAGTCTTTGTAGATTAAACTCATATTTCATCCAGATCGTTAAATTTTTAGTCTAGAAATGGTAGTAATAATTTTTGTGACATAAATAGTAGAATTTTTGCCGTGTTTTTTATAAGCATATTTTATGGTTGTAGCCATGACATTGTAAAAATATAGGTACAATAACCTAAGTGTAGTCAACATAACTATGACTTCGTTACACTGTAAACAAACCCTAAGGCCCAAAGGCCCTAAGGTTCCCTAATAGACTTAGCCTATTTACCCTAATAAAGATAGCACAAAAATAGCAAAGATAAATAAATATAAAAATTAAATTTAAAACTTATTTACTCACGCGTCACGTGTGACCAAAAATTTGATATTTTCACAAGATTAGATACTGTGGAATCTTTTGGATGTTACTTATCAAATGTCAATAACATTAATGTCATATAATATATATGTAGGACACATACATACCGGATGTTGTGGGACTCACTCGTCATTATAAACGTCAACACAATAAATAACAGGTCAACAGAAATCCAAAAGCTAAGAAGTCGATATTTTATCATCTGATATATAGAGGTATATTAAATTTTAGTCAAACAAAAAAAATCTCACCTTGTTCCGGACATAAAAGAAAAATACATCGTTATCAGTAACAAATTGTATATGGAAAACATTTCAATTAAGATTTTTAAATTTGTCTCTAATACAAAACCTCTGTTCCCAAATTGAGTTTAGATATATATGCCTACAATACACCAATCCTTAAGATAATACTGGAAACTGAGAAGGAACCGGGTCTGATGTAAAGCTATAAAATACAGCCCATACGCTGCTTCGACCGGATTATTAACCTATTCAGCAAACTTATCCTTAAAGTAATTTGCATAAAGAGATCATTTAGTTCCTAACTTAACCCCAGAGCTCCCGGCGAAGGACGTTTGGCTGGTTCCTGTAAAATGGGAATCGGGTTCATCATTTGCCCAGATAAACCTTTTGTGGATGACCTAAGAGATTTTTGGAATATATGATTTTTAGGAGGCATTTTTGAGACACTACTGCTGATAGAGACGTAAAATAATATAGCAGGCATTCACAGACGTACCTAATAGAAGTAGGGAACGGTATAGCATCGTCGTAATTCGTTGACTAACTGACCGCTAATAGCCTTTCCGCAGTAAACAGATTTTACACTTTTAGACAATTAGCAAGTAAAATGTTTAATGTGTTTTGTTATAGACACAAGTAGCAATGTGCATCTCCATCTGTGCAGCAGCGGACGTCGGAGGAAGGTTCGCCCTGGCCATTATCAGCAGCATCTTCAACATCAACACTAGAATACTGTTCTACTTAGCAACACTCCTCACCTTCCTAATCAGATTACGTACGATATTTGTCTATCACTATTTCTTTATCATATTTGCTGTTTTGCAGCAATAAATGCTATCAGGAACAGATATCTTTCTTTGTTTGATGTTTAATCAGTCTGTTTGTTGATCTCTAAGTAAATATTTTCGTGTTGAAAATTTGCAGAATGACCTTGAAGTAAGATCTGATACGCGTAATGTAGAGCCTAGTTGAGACCCTTACTTAGAAGTGTACTTTTAGGCATTGTTTAATTGAATAAGATTGAAGAGTTCATTAGTGAAATTGCTTATGAGATTGTCTCTTTTAAATTTTAAAATAAGATCTATTTTCAAACTGAGAAGCTGTCTTCATTCTTCTTTGCAGTCATGTTACAAATCACCCAATTCGTCTGGATGGCGACAGTCACTGGTGCCTTAGGAGTTCTTAGGGCCTGGCTACATGTGGCCAGTCCATTGCTCGTTTCCAACCATGTATCTCATGAAGACTTTCCTGGGGCCTACGCAATGTACATGCTTGCTGCTGGCACTGTTAATGTTACTTTTTCACCAGTAATAGGTAAGGTTCTGATGATCATTTTTTTCCGCTCTGTAATGTATTTTTATGGTATAGAGCGGCAAACGACCAAACCAAACACTTATTTAATTGGCAGCACCTATGAACACCCGCAACACCAGAGGAGTTACGCGTTAATTACTTTGCTAACCTTAGTGTTGAGATCCAAAAAATATGGTAAATCACGTACACAAACTGAGAATCAATACTTTTGATACTGTTGTAATGCTTAATAAAAAAACTCATTAAACAAAAAAGGCTACAGCATTTTAAAATGATGATATCGATACCATTTTGTAAAAGGAAAATAATTAAAAACAGTGTCGGAGTAACTTCTCAGAATAAAGGCACTATAAAGAGGCCTCGCTCTAGATTTAATTACATGTTGCTACGTGTAACTTTAAAGCTTAGGAAAGCCAATTTACTCTTTAGAAGTCGTTGGAGAAAAATCACTTCTCTGAAAACTAGCTAATACTTGTGTAGGTACAAGTATTTATGTGAAGGAAAGAGTAAAATTGTATTAGTTTCACTATTTTTTAATATATTTAAGAATGTCGTTTGTCCACCAAACATCATATTAAGACTAAAACATCATTTCTCGAAGGAATAGACAAAAGATACCAATCATGTTCGCTATTTCCTTTGCCAGCTTTTCTATAATGATGTACTAGAAAAATCCAGATTCCTTATAGTTCTGAAAAAAATATATCCTAACCGAAGGGCTCCATTTGAACCCAACGTGGAAGCTAGGAGCTAAACTAGATACAACCATAAAAAATATACTGTAATCTAGCGCGTCCCAGGGGCATAAGTAATTGTCTTGGATTTCACTAAGATTATAGTTAAAGGAGAAGAAGAAAACGATAGTTTGAACATCATCTAAGCAAAGTGACTGTCAGGTTTATGTTGACTCTTGGTCTTACAATCGTGGCTCTCGTCAATGTTGTAATCCACTGTCTATTGCATACGATCTCTATTAATAAACAAAGATAAACTAATCATGAAAAGATAACTTAACAATGTTCTTTCTATAATAATGTAATAAAATTAATATCAGGTAATTTTCCTAATCGATAATATGGATAAAACTAAACTATTTCTTATCAATGGATGACTAATTGTTAGTATTTTATATATTAGTGACTTACGTAGATATGTTTTATTATTTACGTGTGTGAGCCTTACTTCGGTACGAATGGGCCGGCTCGACAGGAGTGATACCGCACTCCCCCCCCCCCACTCCAATCTCCTTAATCCCTGAAACCTTAACAATCCTCAAATTCTTAATCCCCAAAATACCTGTAACGCCTCTGGTGTTTCGGGTGTCCATGGGCAACGCCGATTGCTTACCATCAGGTGAAGTGATCCGTCAGCTCGGTTACCGGCTTACCCCTAAAAAAATGCAGTGATAGTAGTGCAGAATATATTTGTCACCCACCCTAATATAATAATTAATCAATTAATTATTAAATAATAATTTATATGTCTTTTTTCAGGATTATTGAAAGACGTATACCAAGACTACGTTCCAGCATTTTACGCTTTATCTTTGTGTTGTATTCCTTGCCTTTTATTCTGGCCTATTGAATATGTTATTAGAACGAAGTAAATATTTAACATTTATGCTATAAAACTATTATTAATTAATTATGTATAAAATAGCAACTGCAAGAAATAAAGTTATTTGTTTTAAAGTTAATAACTGTTTTATTTAAACCAATTTAGTATTAAGATTTATGAACAATACAATATTTACTAATATCAAGTAATTCAAGTTATTAGTAATTCATCTTAAGATAAGTAACCTTATTGTATTTAGGAGACATGAAGGTTTACTAGCGACATCTTGTGAGCAGAATTGAGAACGCTTATTTCATTTACAAATAAGAGTTGTAGACTTTGCAGTTAAAACTAATATTGAATAAACAATTATAAAGTAACTTACACTTCCAAAAAGTATTTTGAGTATGTTTTTATTTCATACTAGCGACCCACCCCGGCTTTGCACGGGTGCAATATGCATATATTATATATATAAAGCTTCCTTAAGCATCACTCTATCTACCTATTAAAAAACCGCATCAAAATCCGTTGCGTGGTTTTATTGATCTATGAATACATAGGGACAGACAGACGGCGGATAGCGACTTTGTTTTATACTATGTAGTGATAAATCAGTGCCTTAGTTACTATAATTACTTGTACCTCCATAACATCACGCCTTTTATCCCCGTAGGAGTAGGCAGAGGTGCACATTACGGCACTGAATACCACTGTACAATGTAACATCCATTTTTCACTATTTATGTTATGAGACCCATGTAATAGGGAGTGAGCCTATTGCGACCTATACCGGACCACTAATTACTGAAAATATTTATTATACTTTATTCAGTAATAAAAACTTCATACCTTGATTTGTTTTCTTACTAAAGCATAGTTAATGAGTATTCTTGGTTGTGTGCGACCAATCTGTTTGTGTAAAGAATTTATTGTTATGCCTAGTAATCGGTAAACAGAACCTAGAAAATTACAAGTAAGAAAAAGTTACGTAATACAGTTTTAAGTGTTTTCTTAAGAGGTAGTGGTTTAGTACTTCGTAATAAATTGGAGCATAACCACGAAGTTCTTTCACAACAAAAATAGTTCTTAAAAAGTTTAGAGGATGTCTTGTTTTTTCGACGTATAAATAATATCGTATTTGTTCACTAACGTAACTTAATAAGCCCTTTATCCCCGAAGGTGTAGGCAGAGATGTACATTATGCTACTGTACAATGTAACACCCACTTTTCACTATTTATGTTACGAGTCCCATGTAATAAGGGGTGAGCCTATTGCCATATACTGAGCACAATTCCAGACTCCGGGCTACTACTGAGAATTTTTAGAAACCCAGTAATACCTTCTTTGCTCGACCCGGGACCCCTTGTCCGGCAGTCGCACTTGCGTCCACTCGGCCAACGAGGCAGTCATTATCAATCAGTATTTGTTCACTAAATATTATAATTACTATAATCTTCGTCATAACAGCATGAATTTAAACAATAATTGTTTGCTAGTCTCTATCACAAAGTGCTAGTAACATAATATTAACTCCATAAAGGTCTAAAAATAAATCTTTGTCTACTCCATGGAGGTTTTATCGTCACCAGTGTGATATTATTTACGTGTTCGTGTCACCCATAATCAGGCTTCAGAAAACGAAAAAAAAAACATAAATCTTCGTATGGAAATAGGCACCGACGCCTTTTTGCACTCAGCGGAGCATAGGGTTGAAACACTGCCAACTGCCAAACCACGGTCTATGTTCACGAATAATATCGGACTTTCGAAGTTTTGAGTCGATTCGGAATCGAAAGCTGTCATTTTACAATTTATTATCACGTAAAATGGGAGTAAAGTTTAGTAGCTAATAATATTTTATAACACAACGTTTTGGATATAAATTTCTTGTAATTTAAATAGAAAATACTGCGATAAACCAGATACATAACTGAAAGTCGACATAAATCAAGGAGATACTCCCAAAGGTATATCAATAGTACCTTATTTATAATGGCACATCTCGTATACCGACCTTATTTTGCCGTACTATTCCAAAAGACTACACATTTTGTCAAAATCTCTGGGGGTTACATTTTAGATATTTGACTGCGTACCATGACTGAATATTTCCAAACTGCTTGATTAAATAACAAATCCTCCAGCTGTGTAGAACTGTCAAGTGTGGAAGAACCATGCTTCGACACGAATGGGCTGGCTCGGCCGGAGTTACCACGACCTCACAGAAAACCGACATGAAACAAAGCTAGTGTTGTATTTCGTCATGTAAGTGAGGTTACCGGAGGCCTAATTAACTTCCCCGCCCGTTTCCCCAATCTCTCCGATTTCTGAATACTGCCAAAAGGCTGGTAACGCACTTGTAACGACTCTAGTGTTACAGTAGTCTAGAGTTCAGTAGTATTCCTTAGTCCATGGGCGACGCCGATTGCTTACAATCATGGTGATGATGCTCATTTACGGCGGCGTATTCCATAAAAAAAGAAACATAAGATAGTCGAACGAATGACCTCTCAACCAACAAGACTATAACAAACCGTCCACTACATTCGTCGCTTCATCAATTTATTTACACGGAGTCCCCGCAAAAATAGTCAAGTAAAATATATCAGGCACTTTTTCAGTATTAGGTACCTCAGAATTACGTGGGACCCTTTGAAGAGCCCTCATTATTAACCCTTAACGTACGGGGGCTTTTGAAATACCTGCCTTCAGCCAACCTTAGACCGCATCAATCTTTTCAATGCTTTCTTATTACCCTTTTTGTATCTAATCGGTTTTAAACGTGCGAGGGTTTCTGGAATATGACGGGTGGGTTGCGCGTTCTATTTTTAGATTTCTTGTGATTCATTTTTAATATTTATCGGTTTAGTGGTAGATAGCGTGGTGAAGTGCCTTCTGTATACAGAAGTACACTAAAGTGTACAACATTATTCGATGGCTAGACGACTGCGTATTATGCAGTTTCGAAGACTGAAAATATAACCACCTCATTAGGGAAGAGAGTCAATTTCGTGTTATGATTTTATAATTATTAGAACTTACATATCTGTTGCCCTCCGTCCATGGACTAACAGATTTGACATTCAGATTTTTTGTTATATACCGAGACAACAAATTATAATGGAGCAGTATCTATCTTACTCACTAATACAAACAACTTACCAGATGTTTTTATAATATCTATAGTGGAACATACTAAATTACTGAGAAAAGCTCTACTAGTTGCAAACCACAGAGGGGTTATTCATTAACAGCATATTCACGTGAGTAACCCGCGATTGTAGTTAACTTAAGCAGATTTTAGCGATAAATTCAGCATCTGCACTTGCATTTCAAAAGTCAAAATCCAGCATTATTCAAAGCTCTTGCATAAAACAACTCGTTCCGGTACATACTTGACTAGCTAAGCGGATTATTGGCACATCTTGAAATGCATGGAGGAATCAGCTAAAAGGGAACCAGTAAAATTTATTCATTGAAAGCCGACAACTTAGTTTGCTCTGCATCATATTGGAGTCAGTATGCAATCAGCTTTTATATTTAGTAAAAGATTTTATTGATAGAAATTTTGTTAACGTATTGCATAAACATGTCAGTCAGGATTCCTTATCTATACTAATATTATAAAGAGGAAAGATTTGTATTTTTGTATGTTTGTAATGAATAAACTCAAAAACTACTGGACCGATTGCAATAATTTTTTCACCATTAGAAAGCTGCGTTATTCAGAAGTAACATAGGCTATATCTATAGCTATATATAATATCACGCTAGGTCCTATAGTTGTGGAGCAGTAACCAAAAATGTTTTAAAAACGGGGGAAAAGTATCGTTTCTGAGGCCTTCCATGGCGTGCGCTGAGCATAATTATAGTTAAAGTTATACAAAAATGATCTATAGATGAATTGTTCATCTTAACATTATTTTTAAAAAAGTCCGCGAGAGCATATGTCTACCTTTTATAGTTTACCCATAACAATCGTTTATGTAAAAAATCTTAAGTCCCCCCGTGCGAAGCCGGGACGGGCCGCTATTAATAGATATAACAAAGCGTCTGAATGGGGTATACATATTTGCATTTATTTAAGCTATGCCTTATTACGGTATGGATACTGTCTCGATTGGACACTTTCCTTAATAAAAAATAAATTATTTCGACTGTTCAATAGAAGTAGGATATTAAAAAATAATCACATGTTCATTAATCGGTTTTATGATCAACTTAATTTTAATCTATTTCCAGCAATTTTTTAAGTAATAAGAATGCTGTTTGATGATAAAAAAAACGTGACGTCACTACACAATCTAGTACAAAATTCAAATTTCGAAAACTTCTTACTCACTGGCCACGGGTATTCAGCTAACATTGATGTTATGATTAACCCCTTATCTGCCAGTATATGAGACATAATAGAAAACACATTACCAGAGGTTAACCAGTAATCACATGGAATAGGCGGATATAAAACTGAATTACATAAAATATAGGTTACGTGCGTATATACATGTAGCTGATACGTTTTAGTCGGGTCGATGATTTTCCATTAATTTCAAATCGGATTTACTCACAGACGTAAACTTCCAAACACGTTATACATTATACTAAACTAATATTCCAGATTATATTAGAGAAGAGCCTTAATAATATCCAATGTTATAACGGTTTTAACTGTTATGAAACATCTCGGATCAAATAATTTGAAGCGAATTTGGTATGCTTACATATATTAAAAAGCGATTGCTATGCGGAGACTGGAAATAACATCAACTTTGGTAAGTATTTGTAGGTACTCTATAGGTAATTCTGATAGCCATTATTTTGAAAAGGGCACACTTAGCAACAAAGCATGTATGTAGAACAACCAAACGCCAGTGATCCAAAATGATAAAGAGGAAATTCCAAACCATACTTATAATTGGGATGATGACACGGGGTATGAAAATTAAAAATCTAATTAGTCCTTAAGTTAGGTAATGAAAAAATATTAGACACGTATTTTTATTTTGTTGTATAATAAAATAATACGTACCTAGATAAAACAAATTAAAGCCTAGGAGTGGGGGCTAAAACGTCATTTCTACGTATAGAATGTACATAGAAGT